CTACAGTGCATATCGCACTAAAGTATACCAAACCATAGTATACCAAAACAATATTATGTGGTGTGCCCCGCTACGGTGCATATCGCACTAAAGTATACCAAACCATAGTATACCAAAACAATATTATGTGGTGTGCCCCGCTACAGTGCATATCGCACTAAAGTATACCAAACCATAGTTTACCTAAACAGTATTATGGGGTGTGCTCCGCTAAATAAACAAAGATACACCATCCTTTTAGCCATACTACAAATCAGCTTACCAAATTATGGCTGTAAACAAACATCCGAATCGTACCGAAAAGCTGCCGTCCAGCCATATGCTTTGCCTGTCATCTGAATCCCTGGTGATTAGTGCGCATGCGCGATATAATATCGATATGATATCGGCCAGCCCTATAACCCACTGCCAAATATGCCCATTATACTCCAGCCTGAGCAGCACAGCTGACAGATCAATCATCTTCGCCCAGTTATACAGCTGGACAAAATAAGGTTGAATCTCAAGCTTGCGGTACGGACCCCATAACCTTCCGGGTACAGGCCCCGTGCCCTCATTCATTCACTTGTTCATTCCTTGGCCAGGCAACACATTCATCTGCACACCAATAACACACACTAATCCATGTGTTTATGCATCAGTGTCCACTGGTGTGCACGGTGGCCCCAACCTGCATGACGGGTGAAAAGGCTTTCTTCTCGCCCGCCGTCTCCAGGGCCTTGTGCACAGCCACCAGGTACAGCAGCTTCACCTCGTCCTTGGTGGACGAGCTGAATTTGACGAACATCCAGTTGAAGATCCTCTCGGCCTCGTAGCTGAGGGAGGCGCACAGGAGGCCCAGGCAACTGGCCCCCTCCTGCCGGAGCTCCTGGAGGAGCTTGCTGCTGTGGGAGCAGAGCCGGTACACAGTCACCAAACATGCACACAACCATGCCACAGCTATCAGGAAGACCAAAGGTTTATGCCAATGTGCGCTAATCGAAGGGACTGGAATCCCTGCCTTACCTTTCATTCAAAACATCATTTAGAGCAGCCAGGATAGTATCCAACTGTTTCACAAGAACCTAAGAACAGGGATAATGAAGACCATAGAATGGTTACCTTTCTAACTCCCAATGTCCCATCCTAATGTCCCATCAAACAAAGTGAAACCAGCAGAAAGACACACCAGCAGGGGGCGCTATCAAAACTCACCACTTTGTTTTCAGAGTGCAGAATGAACTCTTTCATTTGTTTCATAGTGGCCAGTCTTCGGTCCCGGTCGTCTTCCCGGGACACCCTCCGAAGGAGGTTGGCCAGCCGTGACTCCTCTGAATGAGCCAGTGGGCGATCTGCAGGTGATTGGAAATAAGGCGGGGGGGGAAGGGGGTCACGCGTGGCATCAGCACCTACCACCATATCAAATTGATGCCTGCACTTTGACAGCCAGGCGGTTTGAGGAAAGCCGGCACCTACCCTGTGATTTCCTCATGTCTTTTGAAGTTAAAGCACGGCTTCCATGCTGAAAACTGGTCAAATCGGACGTCACATTGTTGATCCTCAACTCTTGCCCCAGCGACTTCCAACCATAAGTATTATCACAGAGACCCCCATCAATTTCATATCCACCTGGGAGGAACCAAGACAAGCACCTCACACACACAGAAAAAAAAATACACAGCACCACTTTCGAAAGAGGACCAATAACTAGCTTAAAGTTCACAGCCAGAATTGACAAAAGCAGACCTTTTAAGAGATCAAACTCAGTTTCACATACCCAAAAAAAGCACTGTTTAGATCCATCCAAGGCATCGTTCTGCCTGACCTTACTTAGGCACTACACCTTAATCATTATCACACCAATGCATCTTCCTGCATCAATCTTAAACCATAAAAAGCACCAATATCATTAAAAATGATTAATCCCTTCACAAAACAACCCTGAGATCAAAACACACAGATCAGACGAAATGCTCCACAGGTAACTGACAGGAACCTTTATCTACCCAAAGGGAAAGCTTGAAATTACAGGAATGAAGAGCATTTTGACATAAAAGACAGCCAATGACCCCAAACTACAATTCCCACAGCAATTTATGGTACTTTAACCAACAGCCAAGCAATCAAGGCCCGTAAATAACTTGTCGTGAATCGTTATGTTCATGCTTATCTCAGGAGGACTTCGGCGGTTACATTTGGACCACACTGCGGTTACTTCATTACAGTCCAGGAGGCCACAGAGTGAAAAGTCTAGGATGGTTTCAGACTTATCGCACCATTAAAGGCCCAGAAAGGAAGGTAAATTGATTTTGTAAAGTAATTCATAAAGCAATTAGCTTGTCGTGCCCGGCAATTGAAACCCAAAGCAATCAGCTATGCTCCGAGGCTCAGGGAACATCCTGACACACGGGTCCCACTCTTAATCAGCGCGTAGCAGACAGGACTTTCTGGTTTACAGGAAAGCACCTGTTAATTACAAGGCTGAAATACCTCGGAGGTCATTTTCACTTTCTGTTCACGAAGACGACGTAAAACGGCAGAAATCGCCGGGACACTCCCAGCAGCCGGGAGTCCCCAGCAGGCTCGGGCGACGCGCCTTGTTTGTTTTCAGAGCGGCCGTGCCGTGTGTGACAGGTATCCAGAAACCTCGCAGCTGTCATGTCACCAGCTAAGAACAACTGGCAGACGGTGGTGGTGGTGGGGGGGGAGGGCACAGGGGGCTCGCATGTGTGGGGGGGGGTGTTAGCTACCCGCTTTGCCTACCCGCTTCGTCCAGAGTGGCGATGGCTGTGAAGGCTTCATTGTGCAGCGGTGGGGTGCCGGGCGGGTCGAGGGAGGTCGCGTCGAAGGGAGCTCCAGAACCGTGGTCACCAGGAACGCTGCACTTCAGGCAGTCCTGGCCAACTGACACACTGTCGCCTCTGAAACATTCACATTTTATTTATTTAGCAGGAGCTTTTACCTAAAGCGAGGCTTTTTTACATTTTTTTTGAGAACGCAGGGTCGGACATGGGGCAATTGGGGGTCAAAGACCTTGTTCAGGGACCCAACGGTCACATGACCATGCCAGCTATGGGATTTAAACAGGCGAGCCTCCCCTCACAGGTACAGCTTCCAAACCTGCCAAGCCACACAGCACCCCTGTGAACGGACAGGCTGCCCCCCCCCAATCAACTGGTCCTGGGGATGTGCGCCGCGGAGCCATCACAGAGCCGGGGGGGGGGGGGTTACATGCCAGGCTCCAGGGCACCTCTACATGTTTCATGCAAGTTTTCACATCAAGCCGTCACGGCTGCTGTCAGCTGCTCACCAATTAGCAGAAAGCATTAAGCACCCACGGGAACATTTTCAAAGACAGACTGCAAAGCTATACATCATGGTGGCCATCAAACTTTGCAAACGTGTGCACACAAAAACGACCTAGCAGCTCTGATTCATGCACTGCAGACGGCTTCTCCAGAGGAGAACCTGTAACATTTCACTTCATATTATTGTATCTGGAGCTTTTCCTTGAGACAACATGCGAAATATCTCTTTGAACTCACCCCGGGACAAAGTTCCCAGCGGACACCAAGGCTGTCTGTTTCACCCCCACCCCAACTTAGCTCGAACCCAGACCACATCTAATGCATACGGGGCTGGGTTCCCATACACATTTTACTTTATTAGAATAGCATCAGTACAGGACAGAGACTGTAAGGAGATTTCCGTTAGCTCGCCCGCTACCTTTACATACACCACCGAAGGCTGTCGTTCGCAGCAAAATGAACCGGGCGACCCCACGGCTTGGTACCCGCTTGGATAACAGTGAAATGGAGAGAGATGTTAAACGATCCGCGTTTCTGTAAATAAAGACGAGGAAAGCGCTGCACGTTTAGGGTAAACAGCCTGTTCGGCGATTCAGGCGTGAAGACAAAACCCAGAATGACCCGAGCCGACGGGCCGGCTGGGGACCAGCGAAACAGCGGCCATCCAGACCCAGACATCGCCGGGGTGAGCGGGGTCAGGGGCCGGTCGAATTAACAGCAGCAAGAGAGCGCTGCCGCGAACAATGCCGGCTCAAGCGAGCTGAATAGGGGCTCTGAGACGCTGAGCGCCTGCTAGTCGGCTAGGCTAACAGCGCAGGCGGAGCGAGCTACGGCTCCCCCGCGTCCCCGACACCGCTTTTTTTTAAGCACAAAATACCGCGGTATTCGTGGCTGGTAAACGCAAGCGCTTCCCCGGCGAGCGTCTCACCGCCCCGCTTCCTCAGAACTCAGCCCGTCTGGCTCCCCACACGTGTGACGGGCTAACGCGGCGAATGTACGGTAGGCCCCGGCGTCATCCCCGATCTAGCTTGCCGAGAGCGGGAGGGAATGCGCGACACCCACCTAGGCTGCCAGTCATTCCAGTTCCGCTGCAGTTTGTGGGCGCCGCTCAGCCGAGACCCGATGGCTTTGCGGCTCATTACCTTCGTTGGGGAAGCATGACCCGCTGGGCACGGGAACCGGGTCCGCGCTTAAGACCTGCACACCCGAACCACAAACGTGTCAAACGAGACCGCGTTGAAATGGTAAAATGTGGCTCCAGTTGGGTTTCGGCCTTCTTTCTCCGCCTCCTTCTTCACTGCTTGTTTAAGCGCCACCGCGGGTCCAGTTCACCGAGATGACGCCGCCTGGCGGCAACCAGTAAATCTACTGTTTGAACTACAACCCCGTGAGGTTTTTTGAACTACAACTCCCAAGAGTAGGTGGTACGACGAGGCCTCGGCATCATTTGTGCAACGGCGACCAGAAATAGGCTATATGGATGTTGCCTTTTTGAAAGCGTTATTGTACATTTCCCTTTATATAAAATAGATTGGCTTATGAATGATTGTTGAAATAAAAATTTGAGGGGATGGCAGTATAGCCTCAACTCATGTATAAACAAATCAACAGCAACAGTCATCCATTCAAGAACATTAGTTACTGCTTTGCAGTCATCCAATCATTATGAATTATTAATTAAATTAAGAGTGTGCAATTTTATTAAATTTTTATTAGATTTTTTTTAAATTTCAGAAGGTCCAACACACAGCTTACATTCCTTATCTTGCTCTCCATGATGCACATAGACATATATAGGTGAGAGCAAGCTCAGTGGTGAATGGCAGCCACGCCCAAGGCAGTGTTAAAGGCCGCGTTCAAGGCCCCAGAGACCTGACTATTCTGCCAAAGCCGGGCCCCAAGCGGGCAACTTTCCGATCACAGGCATGGAAGCGTAGCTTGCTGAGCCAGACACTGGGAAGTCGCCTGCAGTTTTCAAAAGGTAATAAAGTTTGGAAGGAGCAGTACACAAAACTGCTCAATCCAGTGCCGATAATAATCAACTCCAGTGAAGAGTAACTGCTCCTGGCCACCTTTCATGGTCTTGAAGGCGGCTTCCCATCCCAGACTTTTGCATATTCCCTCTTCCTCCCCCGCAGTGTGTTGTTGCCTAGTTACAGAGATGTATGAGTAGGTGGGTAGAGAGTGAGCAGCAGATGTAGGCGGAGACGTTAGCAAAGCTAAGCGGAAAGGGAGGCTGCCAGTACAGCGGTATTCTGACCACGCTCTGTGATTGTGGAGATTCCCCTTAAGGTGCCCAGGGGCCCATTTTAGTCCGACACGCGCGGCCATCTGTGAAGCTGCTCAGTTTATGAGATAATTGCTGGAGCACGGACACATTTGACCTACGATACGCTGAACTGTTTGAGGACAAACAAGGAGAAACGCCACCAATGCTATCTGTACGTTTGAACTTTGAACAAACACAGGACCAGTATGTAGCTGGTTTCTGGTTAATTAATACATTAAGTAAGAGTGTGCTGCCACATTATTTGTGCGCCCCCCCAAAGTAAAGCGCTACCGAAATATAGATACAAATAAAATAATAAAATAAAATTCTATTCCACTCTATTGCACTTTTGTTTATTTGTTTTACTGAAAATGTATAATCTAGCTGCACATACATGTGAATTATACATACAGGATTCAGGTTTCCATTTAGAGCGGTGTTTCCCAATCCGGTGCATGTTTTTGCTCCTTCTGAGCTCCCTGCCAGACAGTCCCTGTCTGTGCGTCCCTGAGGACCGGATTGGGAAACACTGATATAGAGAGTTTCAGCCTCAGGATGACTTCCGCTGTTTGTCCATGAATCCCAAAGGATCAGCTCATTCTGAATGGCAGGCGCTTGGATTAAATTTGCTAAAATGGCTAGGATCTGTGTCTCCTGGCTTGGTATCTGTGTAGGTGAAAAAATATTATGTATCTCACAGATATACTCATTTGCATGAATAAAAAACACACATAAATTGCTTTCTATACGTGTGAATATTGAGGATTAAGCTTTGTACTTTAATTGTTCTGCATTGCCATGAAGATCTTGAGTATGCCTGTGCACTTCATGCAATGCTGAATTATATCCACCAGGTGGCAGCCTGAATTTTAGTACAGGTGTTACATTCTGCCAGGGCTGCTAACAGCCATGTGGTGATGAGGCTCTCTGTCAGGGCTGAGGAGATGACAGACAGCAAAGAGGACACGTCCCGCCATGCTCGCCATATCCATCATCTCCGCAATCCTCTTTAATATTTAATCCTCGTTCTGCAGCAGTTGTGTAAAAAGACCTGTCAGTGACAACAAATAAAGAAATATTTTCTTTTTCTACAGACCTAGGCATGGACTTGGAAGTTTAGGAATTTTCCTGGTGGGTTGACCTTGTGAGGGTCAGTATTTCTTCCCCAATTCTGGCATATAGCCTATATTCAGGCAAAATGTACCTGCCCCCCCCACCCCTCCCTCCCCCGGTCAGCAGCAAATCCCTGGGCTGCATTTTTGCTGCTGGTCTGCTCCCGTACAGACCTGTAAACATATACATCATTCAGGTGTATAAATCTTGAAAACATTCCCAGAACGTGGCAGCACTGATGGATTCAAGAATCCATCATCCTTGGCTTCACATGCAGTAGGTCAAAGCCTCCCATAGAGAAGAGCAGAAGAAGCTCATTAAGCTACAGAGGGCATCGCTCCACACATCTGCATCACGCAATATTGCATGAACCGAGCAGGAGCATTACATCATCTGCGCACTAAGAGTAAAAACGTCACATGGACCACGTTCACCACTATGGCCGCCGATGGCACTTTCGCTCATTTAATTAGCTCATGCCTAAAAGCACGAGTGAGTCAAAGGGCTCCTTTGTTGCCTGGGAGGGTGTGTCTCCTCACGTCCCGCACATCCGTACATCGCCTACACCCGCTGCGCATTTCCCAAATGAACAAGCTGAAGCTAACTCCGGCAAATAAGTTCTGGGGGTTTGGGCACCGCCGTGGCTCCGGGGCCGATGACTGTGAAGGCAAAAGCGTGCAGGGCGGGCGATGGATGCCCATCGGTCTCGGAAACATGCGACGCACTCAGCCTGGCCACTTGCAGACGCTCCTGTCAGTGGCGCTACGACCCGGCCCACAGCGTCGGCCAGTTATCTCCCTCTCATTGCTCGATATGTTCACACGCTTACACAGCATTGTGTTGACACAATTATTCACAATTGTAATGCTACTTATTGTCCTACTGTTAGCGTCTTCATTTGTATTTCTATTTTTGTGTTTAATTTGTGTTTCCCAGGGGCCATTAGGACCCTCGCTAACACTTTTCCATTCTAGGAATGTTTATCAAACGTTACCATCCAGTTTTTCTTCTGTTCCCAAAACATTATCCCGCTACTACAACTAAGACTAATAATATGAAAGCAAATGAAGGTCATGGTAGAGCAGAGAGTAACACTGTCACCTGACATGTTAAAGGTTAGGGGTTCAAGGCTGGACAGTGCATTCTCAGTATACACATATAGCACTTCTACAAAACAATTTTTTATTATAAAACAATACTTTTCAACATTAATTGTGTTAAGGATATTCAGGTAATAATGTTATTGCGTTGACAATGACAGAACTTTTGTTAATATGTAAAACATGGAAATACTGTTCCATTAATGTTACAGTAAGAATCTTCTCTGTCAGCTTTGAGATTGGCTGCAGTTCTGGGAACGTTTCCTGTGAGTTGGGACCTGCAGAGTAAGATTGTAATTGCATAGCATGACTGACTGTTACTGTGCACATTGGACCAGCAAGCACTGGGGCACCGAGGCTGCTGTCTGCTACCCGTGTGTGAAGCTCCGCCCACATGACACCCCATGGCAGCTGGTCACACAAGACACCCCAAGTAAAGGCGTCTATCAGAAGGGCCGGGCCGTGTGGCGATGGACTCCCTCTCCACCGGGCCTTCCAGGTTGATGCCCTCATTTCCTCCAGTTAGCCGTCATGATTTTATGGACTTCCTCTTGGTTGGGCCCTCGTTTAAAGTTCTCAAAGTTTTCCCATGTCCTGCTCCATTCCTGAATCCCACAGAGTTTCCAGGGAATCCATAGCATTTTCGTTACACCATACTGGGCTCTGCCCAGACTAGGCCATTCCTGTCCTTAGTAAAAATCCCACTGGACTGGCAGCAGGTTTGAACTGGATTCTGAAAAGCTGATCTGTTCTGTATCACCTCAGAGTCCGTCCTTCAGATTAACTGAGTAATAGTAAGTTCACGGCGCCACTGGGAGCAGAATATAATGCACACTAGGTCCACCATCCAAAGATTATTGGAGAGCAACTGATAGAGTGTCCTGGTTTCAACTTTCCTCTGAAGGGAAGAGACGCATTGGGATGCATTTACCTTGAGGAACATCTCAGAGGATCTTGAAGTCAAAGTAGACTGAGCTAAACCATGCAAGGTCCTTTAATGCTCAAGCCACATTCAGAAATGCCCTATCCTATGCTCTCACAGCTGATTTGTCCCCCTCTTCTTGCCCAAGCCTGATGATTGACTGGCGAGCAATACCATGTGACCATAAAGTGACCTATAAAAAGCCTGCGGGTTTAACAGGACACTAACAAGACCAAATACGGCCCTGTCTTTTTGGGGTCCGATCGTCTGTAGACGATTATCGCCATGGAAGATTAGGGGCCGGAAAGTCAGCGGGGGGGGGGATTGCCGAGGCAAGGGAGATGGAGGACTGCAGAGAGGCAGAACATTTCAGGTCAAAGGTGGGACTGCAGCTTTGGAGGGGGGCACTGAATGATCAATGGGGTTTAGATGGTGGGGGTCATTCAGATCTAGTGAGGCTATAAAAATGTAATTTTCAGCTTTTCTATAAATTTACATACTGCAAATGATTGATAATTAATTATTCTTAAATAGCACATGACTTGCATCATCCTACCAGGCATCAAACGGTCTCTGCTTTAATAATCTGTGACTGTGACTGTAACATCTGTGCCATAATCCCATAACAACTCTATCGGGTTTCAGGCTGCTTTCCGTCCACCGAGGTGTCCAGGGATGGATCCAGGAAGCCCTGCCGAAAGCCAGACGCGGCCCCGGGGGATTCGGAGAGCTGACAGGGCCGGCTCCTGGCCTGGTCTGGCCTGACGCCCCCCAGCCAGTGGGGTCACGCTCGGGGGGTGGAGCAGTGCAGCGCTGGCCGGGTGCGCGGGCGTGGGGGGGGCGCTTGATGTTATCACCCTCTGTACTCACAGCCATCACGGAAATAGAAACTGTCATTCGAGCTGGTGTGGGGGGTCAGACTGGCCCCCAGCTGTGGGTCCCACTTTAACTCACACATCTGCTCTTCTCTAAATAGCATTCCCTGCCTTTGTCACAATTCGGCGTTAATTAATTTGTTATTAATTGCATTCATTTCTTAGCCAGTTTACCGGCTGTGAAATGCTGACACTCAAAACAATGAGATTTCTTACAGTTGTTTCTTATATTTATATAGAAATGTGTTCAGATATGATGGTAAAGGGTGTGCATTTTGAAGGTAAGGCTAGCTAGGTAATCTGTGTTGCAGAAGCTGGTTTAGGGTGGTGCAGTTGGGGGTTATCAGCGATATGTGGAGACTCTCTCCTTAGCTCTCCCTCTCCTCCCTCCTCCTGTCTCCCCATTGGGCCAATGCCCCTGGCCAGGGGGGTGGTGGGGGGGGTGGCCGTTATGTGCTCAGCCCCCCTCTCTCTCCCTCTCACTGCATCGCAGTCGCCTCCGCTCACGCACACGCTCACACGACCGCTCGCACACGGACTCCAGCCACTTGGACGATGCTCTGCCGGGACTTATGGCTGCCCCTGCTGCTCGCTGCCGCCGCCCTGGGGGCCGCCCTGTCCCCTGCCACCGACATCAACATCATGCAAGGTGAGTGACGCCCAACAGCTGTCCACCTTACCTGGACGCTCCACCCCTGAAGACCTGCCCTGTGCTTTCTGGCAACTTCCGAGTTTTGTCATGTGACTTCCATAGGCAATCATGCTGCGTTGTAATGTTATCAAACTATAACGTCACTATGCTGGTGCAGCTTCTCACAGTAAAGCGGAATGCTTCAATGTGTAAATTACAGCAAATGATTTCTTTAGGAATGACACATGACATCACAGCGTGGTGCGTTTTGGTCTGTGAACTGTGACTTTATAAAGGTAGACGCAGTAACCCTTGCAGAACCCTCTGAACACTTCAGATCAAAGAGACACGACAGCCACAGTAAACGATTTGCATTCAACTTAACGGTGCAGTCGAACCTGTTTTACTGAAGGGGAGCATGAAAGCAGCATACTTGCTTTAGTAATTGTTACTGATGGCTCTTGTGCAATCGTTCCTGGCCCCGCCCCCTCAGCTCTGCCCCTGCAGCTGCCTGATCCCAGCCAGCCAATCTCCTGTCCACTATTCTGGACCGAGTTCGAGGGCCACTGTTACCGCTTCTTCCCCCTGAACCGCACCTGGGCCGAGGCCGACCTTTACTGTGCCGAGTTCTCCAACGGGGCCAGGTCTGCCAAGCTCACCTCCATCCACAGGTAGGAGCAGACTGGCCATAGAGAGGTCTACAGTTTACCCATCTGTAGTGACCAGTATGAGACCCCTGCTCGATGGAAATGAAACTATTGCCTGATGTCTGTACCTGAGCCTGACTGACTCACGCTTGAATATGGCTGAATTTAACCTGGCTCTTCAAAAACGTACCTGAACCTGCCTGAACTTCACATACTCACGCCTGACTCTGCCTAAATCTCCATGAACTTACCTGAACCTACCTGAACCTACCTGAACCTGACTTACCTCTGAACCTGTCTGAACCGATTGAACCTACCTGAACCGCACTTAGTCATGCCTGAATTGTGGCTGTTTCTCCTGTGAACTTAGCTGAACCTGCGGGAACCTGACTTGCCTCTCGTTGTTTGCGTCCATGCCCTGTAGCTGGGAGGAGAACGTGTTTGTCTATGACCTGGTTAACAGCCGTGTTCCTGGGATTCCCACGGACATATGGATCGGCCTGCATGACCGCAGACAGGTGACATCATGCGTAATGTATCCCTGGGCTCTCAAATTACCCAGGGGTCAGCTGAGCTGTAAATGCTCAAAATGCTTATGCATCTTACCAACTTAAATGAAACAAAGACCTGGAATCTGAGGTTAAACATACTTCATTCTATCAGATCCAAATTGGCTAGAAAAACAAACACAGCCCTTGTGACCGCAACAGCATAGTACATTACTGTTTTTACAGAGGATTTATCATGATATCTGCAAATCTCTGATTGTCAGGTGATTCCGGTCAGATTCCTAGAGTAGATCCGATTGTCTGTGTTCTTAGTTACCGATATCATCAGCTTGTACTACAACAGGAATACTCAGGCACCTGGTCAGGCAGCCGGTCAGAGAGTCTGTGTCGGTTCTCCAGGAGGGAACCCTGGAGTGGACTGACGGCTCGCAGTATGAATACAGCTACTGGGATGGGAACCAGCCAGATGATGGGATCCATCGCATTCCCACCGAGGAGGACTGTGTGGAGATTTGGTACCGACAGAACAGTGGTGAGTACTGCCCTGCCCCCCCCCCCGTCCCCATGTCTCACCAAGGTGGGGTTTCCCAGTCCAGGTCCCGCTGGGCCATCTCACTTACTGGGGGTTTCATGTACATCCTTTGTTAAAGTACTAAAGACGTGATGTCTAATTTACTTCAATTACCGTAAAAAGTAAACAAGCCCAGTGGTTGTGTGGCCTGAAAACATGCACGCATGACAATCCATTTCTTCTGGAAGCTTCACTGAAGCCACTCCAGTAAACATCACTAATTAATGTTCCACATCAGAACATCGGAACTGAGACTGAATATTAGGACCGTTAACAGAGTCGACGATGATGGATGCTAATGTTGGTTCTGGGTTTGGCAGCTCTGAGGTCCTGGAACGACAACAGCTGTGACAGGGCCTTCCCCTTCGTCTGCAAGATCCCCTCCCAGGACCGCTAGTCTGCCAGGGACCCCCCTGGACCCGCCCTCCTCCCCCTCCGTGACAACAGGATCAAAGCAGGGTCACTGTCGACTTCCTCTCTACCCGGGCAGCACACTTCCATCTGGACGCTCGAGGAACAGGGACTCCTCCGCTGCCGGTTCGCCACCCTCCCCAGCATTCTTCCGGGCCTCATTTCAGGCTCCGGATTCATCCTCAGGACTTGGCTTTCGGGCTGGAATCCACTCGACTGTTAGCATCACCAGCATATCAGCATCATACGGTTTTGCGAGGTTTATAAAGTAATGTCTCCTCATGGCTGCGGCTCTCGCCTGGTAGGAGCCGGTGGGAGCCAGTCAGAGCCGGTCTAAGCAGAACACTGGGAAGGACCTTCAGATTCTAGGCCGCTGGCTGTTGGGACTGCACACCCCACTGTCCGCTGAACAATTCCTGAATAATTTGGATAAGCATCAGGATGACTAACGATTATATCAAGCACAGCGTGATGCACTCAAATAGCTCAGCTGGCTGCAACAGTTATGAAAAGGCATTTGTTTCTGCTGGATTTCATTTATGGTTGTATTATTGTAATGATCCCTCCCCTTAAAGGAAAAATCTTTTCTGATTGGTTGCATTTATGGTTACGCTTTGCTGTCGATTCCTCCCCATTAAGGAATACAAAGGTAACACTTGGCTTCTGGCTGTTGTCATGTCAGTTTGCACATTCACTTATAGATAGATAGAGATACTTTATTTATCCAGTAGCTTACACACAGTATACATACACATAGGCGCACAAACCTATGAGATTCACGCACACATACATACTGCAACAGTACAAATGAAAATAACAGGAGGGCAGTGTACTATACAGGCCTAAACACTTAAGTCCATCACACTCCTCCCCTTCCATGTGACGTTGAAGAGCTGTATGGCACTAGGGACAGATTAACTAATCCAGTATAAACGGGAAGGTGAGAGTTTGTGAAAGGTAGGATTAAAGACACAAAGATGAATAACACAAAGAAAAACTAAGCAGCTGAAGGTCACTTTTGAGCACTTGTAGTAATTAAAGTTTCAATGGACAAGCGCTCAATTAAAATTGATCATTAATCAGTAGACGTAAAAGCAACCTGGGATTGATCATCCTGTTTCTTCCTATTGATTTTGTCATTGTAAAGACACATGACAACTATGGAGAATAATGACTGGTGTTTTCATTATCCACAAAGACACATGACTGCTAGGGAGAATGATGATTGGT